TATATATATATATATATATATATATATATATATATATATATATATATATATATATATATATATATATGTTCTTAGTGTTCTTAGTTTAATGTGTAGTTTAAAGTAAAGGTGTTTAATTGTCATGGGTAGATAAAATGAAACCGAGTACTACAATTAATATTTAAAAATAAATTATATATTAAAACATGTTACATTAATTGAACAAATAAATAAGAAATAAACTTAAGATGAATAAAGAAAAATAAGACTGAAAGTGTTTATACTGAGCAGAGCTCTGTGTGTGTGTGTGTGTTTGTTTCTCTCTCTTTCTCTGTATTAGTTTGTAGCATCATGTTTTGTCTCCTGGCTGATAGGTTACATGATCACTGTCAGCCTCACTGGTGTGTATATATCTAGGTTTATAGGTACCCATAATGCCTGTGAGACGTGATATGCCACTGAAGGCGGGTGAGGAGGAGGGGGAAGGTTTGTCATAGGACCGAAAGGTGAAGGAGAAATTGAGCATTTCCTGCCGCTGAACCGCTTGCAGCTACGTGTCTGTGATGTCTCGTTGATATTCGAGGTCGAGGGTGATGTTGGTTCAGTGTGATTATACTCTCCACAAATACAGCAGATTTATACATCAGCATCAAAAACTTCAGTAGATGATCTCCAGTGGGGGCGGAGCACATCTCTGTAAATTTATTATCAGAAATACACGGACTTACAGTGGACACAGCCTACGACTCTTCATCCTTTTTGGCACTTCATCCATCTGTTCTTAAGTGATCTGTGACTGACAGAAGAGTTGAAAGAGTGTAAACACACGTTTAACCAGTAGCATTCATCATAGAAAGACGAGGATCATTAATAGCACAGATGTGTATATATAGCTCTGACTGTGAAGCATGACATTGTGGAGATAGATGGCCATCCACGGAATGCTTCTTTTCAGAAAGAGGGTCAGTAAGAGAAATGGACAGAGAAAATGAGAGGGGGGGGGCAGTGTATATCCTTGGTAAGGTATAGAGAAGTGTAGGTGACTTCTAGAGGGTTTTTTTATTATTTTATTTTAGTTTTATTTCATTTTAGGGCGATTTGTTTAAAACACTGTCCAATTATTTCATAACTTTTTTTTAAATGAAAATTGTCATGTAACCACTCTTAATGCAACTCTAAACTCGTCACTTTTTTTCTGTGAAACAAAATGTCAAAACTGCTCTTTTGCATATAATATACACTACTCACAAAAAGTTAGGGATATTCGACTTTCGGGTGAAATTTAAGAATGCACCTAAAATGCACTATAACCTTTACAGGTTAACTTAATTTGACCTTCTCTAAACTTTTGAATGCATATGTCCAACTATTCAATATTTCAGTACTTATTGCATAACATGCTATTCTCTAACAAGGTGATTAACTGCAAAAATCAAAACAAGTGTTTTTCTGATCAAGTCTGATCCATGAATCGACCACTAAATGTTCTGGTTCAATGACAGTTTGTATTTAAACAGTCCTCTTCATCATGCTGTTCACATTTGGACATCATAAGTCGACACCTAACAATTGATCAACAGTACCTGGCCATTGCGAGGTTTCAAATGGGATGTTCTCAGAGGGAAGTTGCCACTGAGCTTGGAGTGTCACAGAGTGTCATCAGCAGGTTGCAACAGAGACATAGAGAGACTGGAAGAGTCACAGAAAGTCATAGAAGTGGACGTCCTTTGGCCATATCCCATGCTGATGACCGCTTCATTGTGAACAGTGCCCTGCGGAACCGGGTGTTGAATGCCACTCAACTCCAGGCATACTTAAGGGAGGTGAGAGGCATCCGAGTGTCATGTCAGACCATTCAAAACGGCTTACATCAGCATGGTCTGCGTGCTAGACGACCTGCAAGGGTACCTGACCACACCACCAGGCACAGGCATCATCGTCTTGCATGGGCCAGGGAGCATTTGTGCTGGATGAGGAGCCAGTGGGCCTCAGTGCTGTTCTCTGATGAAAGTTGGTTACCATTAAGCAGAAATGATGGCTGCTAAAGCTGTTGGAGTCATCCAGGAGAACGCTATGCATCAGCCACTGTTGTCACTAGACGAGCCTGTCTGGACAGGTGTGTCTAGTGAATACAGAGCTGCCCTACACCTTGTGAATGATACTGTGACAAGCCAATACTACCATCATATATATATATTTATCATTATTACAGTCATTGTGCCTCTGCATGAGCAACACAGGCCTGATTTCATCTTCATGGATGACAGTGCCCCAGCTCATCGAGGTCGCATAATCAGTGAACGGCTGCTGGAGGCTGGGGTACCTCAAATGGAGTGGCCTGCACTTTCTCCAGACATGAACCCCATAGAAAACCTATGGGATCAGTTGAGTCGTTGTGTAGAGGGCCGTAACCCTGCTCCCCAGAACCTCAATGACCTAAGGGCAGCCCTTCAAGAAGAGTGGAATGCCGTGGCTCGGCAGACAATAAGTCGACTTGTGAACAGCATGAGATGTCGTTGTCAAGCTGTAATTGATGCTCAAGGACACATGACAAGTTATTGAGACATTGATATTTTTTGTTGTGGAATACCCACCACTGTTGTTAGCTTTTGTTTCAATAAATTGTTTGAAATGAAGAATTTACTATTGCATGTTTCTACTTAAATGCCCTACTTTCATGATATAATATCACTGTATCATGAACTTTTTACATTTTCCATAAATTTCACCCGAAAGTCAAATATCCCTAACTTTTTGTGAGTAGTATATATACTTTTAGAAGTAAATAAATTTTAAAAATTCAGGTAATGTATCAAATGTATCTCTCAACAATGTATCTTAAATAATGTATCCCAGGTCGTGATTTGAACCCGATTCACGCTAAATAAATATAAATCTGTAGAAAATAAATTAATTAATTAATGTAATGTAATATGTGATTTCAGATAGGTCACAAAGTGAGCCAGGAGGGGGTAATTGCTGCTTTTGTACCCTCAAATAAAATATCTTAATGATGCCCCTGGTAATATCTGTAAAGTGCCAAAATAAAGTAAAAAAATAAACCAAAGTGAACTGCAAATCACTGAACGCATTTGGTTTATTTATTTATTTTTTTTATATTTTTGGCTCTGTACACATGCTAAATATATATTTTTGAGTGCCTCCCACATACTGTGTGTATTTAGAGGAAGGTGGGCCATGTTGACTGATCTTGGCTCGCTGTTTGTATGTATATGTGTGTTTAGAGGCAGTTGGCGAGTCTGTTGACTGATTTGGGCCTGACGAGTTCTGCGCTGCTAATCTACGAACGACTGGAACTCTGGGAGGATGCAGTTGTCTGCCTGGAGAGGATGGGACAGCACGGCAAGGTACGCTACTCACATATGTTTTGTTAAAGAAAACTTCAAACCAGTTAAGTATCAGTTTAAATGAATAGTACTTCCCTAAATTCATGCCATTGGTTGAGCCAGTGTTGTTGTCTGGTTGGACGATATGTTCAAACAAACAGATCATTGTTTTAATAGCCTTACAGTGATTACTCTTCAGGGAAATCGACCTACAAATGACTTGCTCATAGTAGTCTCTGCATATTAAGTTGGGATAAGAGAAAGTGACTTCTGTTTAAGATCTTGAAGAGGGATTGATTGCTACTTTTACCTCTTGCCATATCTATCTCGTCCCTTTATCCTCTATCTCTCCTCCAGCTCTCTTCGTCTTTCCTTTCTATATGAGCTCCTGTCAGCATGCTCTAACAACACATCTCTCTCGCTGTGTGTGTTAGTGCAGATTTCTGGGAGCCATTTCACAGCTTTATTAAGTTACCGTCCTCTTTGTGTGCCAATCAGATTATAGGGTACATCTGAGGTTAATAAAACCAGCCAATCACCCCCAATCTGAGCTGTAATATTATAAAAATGTACTGACATCCACTCCACTGTAGTACCTGATATACTGACTCTCTCACTTTCTTTCTCTCCCTGTTTCCCTCTATCTACTTTTCCCTGCGCTCTTATTAAAGCTTAAAGCCATAAACTGCAGGTATGCGTAGAAAAGAAAGTAAAAGACAAAATACAGAGACAGGCGAAAGGGAGTGATGCTTCATATGAAAGGAAAGAAATTAGAAAATCAGTGAAATATGTGAAGCAGAGAGAAAGTGAGGTGAGAAAACGGTGCATACACAAATCAGCAAGACTGGAGTGGGAAGAAATGTTTTGTTACTTTGAGTTTTGCTGATGGATTAATCCATGAGATTCTGTGTTCGTTTAATGAGTGAACATCTTCAGAGCACGAGGGATGTGTACTGATGTCTATTTGATTTGAGTTCAATTTATTGTCCCATGAAAGCTTGCATCAGTTATTGCAGATTACTGTTGGAATTTACTGTGTAAAAGCTCTTTTCATTAATACTTTGGTATCCCACTACTTTTACTTTATTTTACATTACATTTATTATTATCATTTTACCTTTTTAATTAGTATTTAAGACAGGAAATCCAATTCTATTGCAGTGATTGCTGTCAGATGACTATTATCTAATGTGAATTTGTAGTACAATTATTATTATTTTTTTTACTAATTTGACGTTTTTGCAATTTTTTTAAATTATTTTATAAATTGTCTATTTAATTGATAATGGGATTGTAAAAAATCCAGATCTCATATGAGCAGAAGATAAAGCAGCTATATATAATATGTATAAAATTTAGTTTGACCTCCTGATGTTGAAGATTAATATTTTATGAAGGTGAAGAGTTTGTTTTCATGACCTTTTATTGAAAACATTCCCCCCCCCCAGGCCTTTAGTTTTCCCTGTTCCGTAGAAAGTGCATTTGTCATTCTAAGTTAAGAAAACAATTGGTAACAAAACACTTTACATTAGAACTAAAGGTTTACTGCTTTAACTAAAGGGTTTGGGGTTTCTTGCAGTTCAGAGAATTTACCATAGTAAACGTACTTCCTGGCACCAGAATTTTTCAGTTTCCTTTCTAAAATGTCCAACCTGTTATTAGCATTGAAACTGATAACCTAGCCCCCGATTAGCATCCATTTGTGTTGTTGGCAGTCATGAGATCCATCAGAGGAAACTGCAGCCTGACTGGGCTACACAAACCTTGGTCGGCTCCAATGGCACCTTGCTGTTTGTAGGCAATGTGAAATGTGCAGTTTATAACGGCCACGAGGAACAAAGGAGCATTCAGTTGCTGTCAGACCATGAGGTTCTCTTCCTCTCCTGCATTACCTTCTCTTATCGGTGTTGTTCTTATAGAACAGAAATATGAGACTTTTTTTTTTTTTACCCGAGTAAATGGCTTATTCATCCTGTGTCTGGGCCTTCAGGTTTTGAGCTTTCTTTTTTATGTAACGACTGTGTCGAGTACGAAGAGATATTGTTCCCACTTCTCAAATTATGTGTACCCACGAAAATAAATAAGCACCCAAATAGAAGTGCTGGGCAAGCACTGAGAATTTTATTGCCGCCTACCCCCTTTCTCCCACGACGGCTTTAGTTCTGAGCGTTTGCAAAAAGCCAATTATCCATCCGTTCCCATGAATACCAGCAGGGGTGGAAGGGCAGGAGGCGATGAGAGATGCACTGTAATATAGCCCAGCATCCAGTGTATTTCAGAGTGAAGCCACATTCACAGTGATTGTAAGAGTATGTGTTAATGGCAGCAGAATTTCGCCAGCTAGATTTAAACAAAGAGTTCATGGGCTTTTACATTTAGAGAAGCTGTTCCTGGCTGTAGCGTAGTACTGGTGAGCCCTACCATGTCAAGTTCTCCTGTTCATAAGGATTTGTAGGCCACACATACTGAAGATGTGTTGGTCCTTGTTTCTCATGTTAGAGATGAAGGTTTTAGTCTGACTCAGTCCTGTTTTCAACCCCTCTCCCAAAATAGTTTCCGGTCTTCTCTGTTCTGTACCAAGAACTGATGTTTCTTGTTTGAAATTTTATTTGGGATCTCTGTGGCATTTATCTACTTAATTTTGACATCTTTTAATGTTTATTGCTAGAAAACAATACTCATTTATCAAATCAATATTTAGACAATATTTAATATTGCAGATTTAGCAAAAAAAAATGCAAACCTCATTTGAAATGAGTAGAAAATAATCTACTAATCTTATTATTTGTTTTATTTGTATTTTTTATTTTATGTATATATTTATTTATTTATTTGCTTTTTACGTAGTTGTTTTGTTTTATTTTTAATTTTAGTTTTATTGATTTTGGACCCTTGCTGTTTCTTTAAGTTATTTTTTTTTCTTTAGGAATTGTTTTAGTAGTGTGGTTTTTAATAACATAAAAAGAATGTAACAGCATACCTATATCATTAGTTTAATCCCTGCTATGCACTATGGACATCCACACACCACACCCAATTTCAAAACCATTGGCATTAATCAAGAGTTGGTCCTCTTTAACAGCTTTCATTCTTCTGTAAAGATTTTACAGTAGTTTTTAGGAAAGTCGCTCCTATTCGGACACAAAATTATCTGAATGATCCAATTCATACCAAAGGTGTTCAGTGGGGTTTAGGTCCAGCTTTGTGCAGGACAGTCCAGTTCTTTCAAGGAAGGATTGAGTAAATTGCTTTGCATGTCATTCTGGATTAAAAAAAGACCCTCCCGAAACAAAGTTTCAGCACATAATTCTATATAAAAAGAATGTTTTTATATAAAGTGGCATATTAACTGGAATTAAGGAGCCTAGACAAACCAAATATTAAAAAAAAGGTCTCCACATACTTCAGGCCATGTGCATATTTTCCAATATGAGGATTAAAACTGTCAAAGTTTGTTTCAATCTGGTGGTACCTTCTTTTCTCTCAGGCGGAGGAGATTTTGAGGCGTGAGCTGGAGAAAAAGGAGATGCCATCTCTTTACTGTCTGTTAGGTGACGTGCTGAAGGATCCAGAGTATTATGACCGAGCATGGGAGCTTTCCAAACACCGCAGTGCACGTGCCCAAAGGTCCAAAGCTCTGCATCATCTGCGCCACAAAGAATTCCAGCAGTGCGTGGAATGTTTCGAACGCTCGCTGCTAATCAACTCCATGCAGGTATGCCGTGCACTTGTACGTAGCTTTATGGTCCTTACCCAAGCATCCTGTAAATGCTGATAGACATTAACCACCCATACCCCTTTATTACCGAAATGATTTCGTTGTATGCAGGGTATTCTACAAACTTTTGTCTGTACTGGCCAGTGTTCCTTTGACTTGAGAGCCGAATGATGGCATTACTGTTACAACATGAATAAAAAAAAATCTCTCGTTTTAAAAGCATCATACATCCAATTTACATCCAGTGTCATTTAAATGTCTGATTACAGTCATAGCCTGCTCTTGATGCAACTATCAAAAATCAGTTCACATGTGGTATTTGAAAATAATTGGATAGCATTTTATTTTAAATAGACAGGGGTAATAAAATTGCTGTAGTTTGAGTATTAAATTACGAGAACATCTTTTAACTTTCATAGTAATTTGATTCAGTATTTTTATGGTGCTTCTACAATAATGGTCAACCATTATTTAATACAATAAATAGCCATGAAATTCACATGATATCTGTAAATATAATTGTATTTTATATGAACGGGCAATAAAGTTGCTGGAGCTGCTGTGCAATGCAACACTTTTATATAGAAACAAGATTGTAGTTGTAAACAGTGTAATGGGAGCGGGACACATGCCCAACAGTCTAAAATATTAATCATTTTTATGTAGAAAATAATAGACCAATTCAGAGTAGATGTCAGTTACGTCACTTGCAGCTGCGCGCGCATAGTGGTTGCCGAAAAACACTGGGAAACAAGTGGAGGTAAATGGGTAAAATCCATGGAATAAAAGAAAAATAAATTTTTGTGCCTTTTGATGTCAAGATCGGAATGCAAATCATTTTTATAGAATACTGTCGTCAAAGCCACCATTTGAATGCAAACGCAGACGTTTAAATGGACATACTATGGATGAAAACTGTTATGATTACTCTACTTTTAAAGCATAAATTCGATTTAAACAATAGGTCTACATAATATTCACATATGCTGTTCATAGGGGACGTATTGTATTAGCCCTACAGTTACAGCATGAAATATTTAAACCTTACTATTAGAAATATTATTTAAACCTTACTATTAACATTTTTACATAACATTTATTTTATCTCTAAATTCTGACTTTTTTTCTCTCAAATGCAAGTTTATATCTCCTAATTCGGACTTTATAACTCGACTTAACTCAAAAATAGTGAGTTTGTCAAATCTGAGGGAAAAAAAGCCAGAAGAGCCCAGGGGAAAAGACGAGTTGTTTTTCCTTATTAGAATTGTGAGATATAATCTTGGAATTGCGAGAATAAAGTCTGAATTTTGAAAAATAAAATAAAATTTACCTTTTTTTTTAAATTCTTTTATTCCATGGCTCCATAGACTGCCACTTGAAAACCGCCATTTTCTGCCTCCAGATAGGCTTCGCCCACAAAAACCGTCATCCCTGTTTCGGATCTGTAAGACTATCCCACTCTCTAACGTCAATTTCGTTGAATAACAGTGCTTATCGCTCAGTGACAAGCTCTTGTAATATGCAGAGAACATTTTGAAAATGACATCTAATCAATATAATTTATAATCTTTTTAAACCTTTAAACTATTTTGTACCGTATCCGTGAAATTCTCTAGCCGTAAAGGCTATCTCTCCCGAAACACTGAAGTACAGTGGAAAACAGCGAGACAGCAGTGTGTGGATGAAGTGGCGTCAGGTTCATTCACCACTGAACCAAAAAAGTGCACAACTCCCCCCCCTCCCTTACTCATTTTTCATTCCTCCCTTCATCCATAATGCAGAAGCACAGGCAGCAAGACGATAGAGTAATTTTCCTGAGGGACTCATTGATGACCCTAGCTTGATCTTTAACACCTCCTCGCAGTACTGCCGCAGGGCCTGGCCGAGCCAATGCTGCCTTTAGGCCTAGAACTGGAAGTAAAGACGGACGAGTGCCAGAGAGATACAAAGATGAGCACTCGGGGAAAAGAAACTGATTTAAAACATATGAAAGAGACTCCTTGAGGTTCATGGGTTCAAAAGACATCATTCATTTTTAGGGCCGAATAACACCTTTAAAAGACGAGTGAAGCACTTGAAGTCTCCCCAGTTTTCTTTTTGCCCTCGTCGGTAATACTCCATCATTCTCACGCTCTCTTCTCTGTCTTTTATCTCCACAGTTGGGTGTGTGGTTCTCTCTGGGCTGTGCGTATTTTGCACTGGAAGGCTATGAAGGGGCCGCCAAAGCTTTTCAGAGATGCGTTGGACTGGAACCAGATGTAAGTCACACGGTCCTTGTAAGGAGATCAGTGTCATATGATCATAAAGAAAGGGCTTGTGCTTAGTTGTTCAGTACTTGTGCTGTCATATGATTTATGTCTTAACGTAATCAATTGATTGTGTCTGCGAATGCCTCCCTGTTTTTGTTCTTACAGGCTTCTATTTGCTTTTATGCATCTATAAATAAAGCACAGACCATTATATGTAGTACAGGAGCCTCTTATACTCCTAATGGTGTACTTAAAATTCAAATGTAGTCAAGAGGCAGGCTTAATACTCCATCCAGGAAACGAGTAAACAAGCTATTAGGAAATATTCTGTAGATGTCTGGTTTCTTAGTTATTTATAATGATTTATTTTGACAAATTACTTTCACCCGTGGACCTGACTCTGATCGCTACTCTCCTCCATTTAGAATTCAGAAGCATGGAACAACCTCTCCACGGCCTACATCAAACTGAGAATGAAGTGAGTATATGTGTAAGCGCTAAGAGTAAAGGCTACATCAACAAAGCTTTGTTTTGCTGGTGTTTTAATCCAATAAAAGCATTTATTTTTTTGTTCAACAGTGGTATTTGTAATAAAGACCGTAATAAGCAGCCAGTTAAGCTTTCCTTCAGTATTTTGGATGGGCTATGATTTCAAAGGCAGCAGACAAGGAGAAATATGTACATTTTATAATTTTAAGAGCCCTCCAAAAAACCAAGCACTAGTAAAACTAATTTTGAATTGACAGTTTTCACGGTCTGTTTAAGATTGTCTCACGCATATTTTCTTTTGCTGGCCATATATAATAAAGTAATCATGATTTGTTTAGGGAGGGGGGTGGGTGACATACAATGCCATTCAAAAGTTTAGGGTAACTAAGATTCTTTTGGAAATAAATTTAATTCAGCAAGGACGCATGAGGGATCATGTGACACTGAAGACTGGAGCAATGGCTGTTGTAAATTCAGCTTTGCCATTACAGGAACACATCACAATATTACAGTTGTAATATTTCACAGTTTTACTGCTTTTACTTTATTTTTGATCAAATAAATGGTGAGTTTCAGAAACTTCTTTTAAAAACATTAAACGAAATCTCCAAACTTTTGAACTGTAGTGTATATAGATACATTAGTACTGTTTCTATTGATTTTTTTTCCCATCCCATGATAGAGTGTGATGGACTACTTGACGTATGTGTGAATTTCTAAAAAATAGCTAGCACTGCTCTCACACACTTATCTCTCACCCAAGTAAAAACTGTAGATAAGCCCCTATTCAGGTTCCAGTTGACCTGATTTATGCTGCTTTTCTATTTCCTTCATCCTGCATCCGCTGGGGACCCTCAGAGGCCTCCTTGCTTTTCAGTTACTGCAGGAATGACTTTGGCAGCTGTAATTGCAAAGATAAATCTCCTCAGGGCTCTTGCTGTGTCTACCCCAGGAGCCAGCACTTCACCACACTACCAACCGGCCAATATTAACCAGATTTGGAAGCTAAATGCCAGTTAGGACATTTGTTGCTTGACATTATTGGAGGTTTTTGCTGTTTTCCTGTGAGGACCAGAGATGTTTCCTGGAACACCACTGTAACGGCATGTACCTGAGGGATTCCTCCTCTCCTTTGCCCCTCGTCCAATTAGCTCTGTGCACTCATCCCTGAGATGAGTCTTTGGAATCTTCTATTAAAACCTGATTAATGCTCCTAGGGACCATCCAGAACAGAGGAAGTGTGTGTGTGTGTGTGGGAGAGATTGTGCGCACACCTGCATGTGTTCAAAGGAAGCTAGGATTTAGATGTTACAATGAAACCCATGTCAAGCCCTGTGTCATAGGCTTTTGTTGACAGCGCTTACAAAAATATCTGTTGCAAAACCTTGTGATCTGTGTTGTTGTTTGCAGCCTATACAGGCGATGTGCTAACTGAAAGCTCATACTGTAAGTGATTGATTTGAAATGCTCTGTCAGCGATCTGTGTGCATTTCTCACGAGGTGCACTGGAGACTCAACTCGGTGGATTCCATGTAGTTTGATCGGAGCATTTTACTAAGCTAATGATCCAGTACTCTTAAAAACAATTTGGTGTAGAAACAATTTTCTTTGAGAAGTTGCTAGTAAATTTCACAATTAATTACAATGAAACATCAAGTAACCTCAAATTAACATGAAATTTTGAAGTAGTAGGACTGAAATTTTATTTTCTTGTAAAACGTACTCCAATACAATTTTGCTCTTTCATGCTTTATTTCTTTTACTCTTTTCACTCTTTTTCTTTCGCTTTCATCCATTTTTATCACTTTGAGTATTTCACTCTTTCTTTCTCTTTTGCTTTGTCGCTCTTTTTTGCTGTTTCACTTTCTCTTTCTTTAGCTCTTTCTTGCACCAGTTTCTCTTTCTTTCGCTTTTCTTTGTCATTAGATATTTTGCTTCGTCACCATCTGTTTCTTTATTTCTCTTTCTTTTGCTCTTTCTTTAGTTCATTCTTCCTGCACTCTTTCAATGTTTTTCTTTCCCTTTCATTTTTTCAGTCTTTCATTCTCTTTAGCCCCTTGTCAGTCTTTCTCTCATTCTTTTGCTCTGATTTCTTTTACTCATCGTTTCTTTTCCTCTCTTCAGTTCTTTTGCTCTTTTTCCCTTCATTTGCTGTTTGGCTGTTTTATTAAATTAATTTTTGCTAAACATTTTTTCTTTTCATTCTTTAGTTCTTTCAATTTCTTTTGCTTTTTCTATGTTCTTTCTTTCTCTTCCTTTCCTTTTCACACTTTCACGTTTTTACTTTTGGATTTTGAGTTATAAAGTTGTTTTTTTTGTTTTTTTCAACCGAGTATCTCTTTGTTTAGAGTATTGCACCATTAACTTTATCAACATGCCTGCATCAGACTCTGGAATCAACCATGAGGTAGTGTACAGTAATTATGCTGACTACCTCTACTTTTTAGAACAAGCTTTCTACCTAAAATGCTCTCTTTGTAGACAGCTCACTAGGTTTCTGTATGACAACTATTATTCATTGCCACATGCTATAACTGCAAGTTTGCCAAAACCAGTTTTTGGAAGGGAGAACATGAAAACTACTTGTTGTTTAGCCATACACTATTTAATACTACAGTACATCCACAAGCAAGCAAGCAACTTCTGTTAACAGTAGTTCTGCTAAACACACTGATCTTTCTGTTTTGTGTGTGTGGTAGGGAGAAAGCATTCCGCACCCTTCAGGAAGCGCTCAAGTGTAATTATGAGCGATGGCAGATCTGGGAGAATTTCATTGCTGTGTGTGTAGACCTGGGCGAGTTCAGTGAGGCTATCAGAGCCTACCATCGGCTCATGGACCTCAAGGACAAATACAAGGATGTGGAGGTGAGTCAGCCTCACAGTTTTTCTCAGGTTAACCCCAAACTCTTTCTTTTTACATACATTTCCAGAATGTTTTCATCAGATTAAGTGTCTTAAGCAACTTTTTTTTCCTGGCTTGTGTAACCAGTGTAAAGCAGCTGGAGTCTCATTTGTGTATCATGTACTGCTGTCATCACTGCTCAACAGATGCCCAACTGCACGCACAGATTAAACCGTCGTGTGAGAGGCCGTGTGTGTGTGTAAGTGAGATTTGATGAGTGAATGTTTGTGTGAGAGAAGAGAGAGATGATTTCACCCTGATCTGCCCAAATATGTATGAATATATATTCATACTTGCAAAGTAGTTCTTACCACAGATGGGCTTCTGTCTGCTCACTTTCATCCAGACAGCTCTGTTTTAAACACACCCCGTAAGTCTCTCTGCATCCATGGCCCCATCACACCTCTCCTTTGTCATCTGTGGATCTAATAGCGCTGCTGTTATAACACACGTCTTAAAGCTCTATGCCATTAGACACGTTTGTGCTGTGGCTGGTTGATGCACCAGCTGCTACATCCTATTAAATGTGTCATTTGTTTTATCATTTGGTAGTCAAATTGCCTGGTAGTTGTTTACCTCCTTTACTTTACAGCGGCTCCGGGGTCACCATGGTGGCAGTTAATTATGTTTTATTTTCACAGGAATTATGGCTGCACCTTAAAGAAGCTGTTTTGTGCATCTCTAATTTTTAAACACCCACCTCCTACTTTGTGAATGGTGCAAAATATCTGAAAACTCTAGCTGTGTATGAGCAAGTGGCAAATGAGTTTTGCGCTCCATTTTAGTTTTAGCAAAAAAATGAAAAATTAGTGTAAACATGCACTAGGAAACTGCATATTACTGGAGGAAGCCTCTAATTCATAGCAATTATGTTGAAAGGAGACATCCTGTGGAATCAGATTTTTGAATGGTAATGTGTGTATATGTGTGTGTGTATATATATATATACATTTTCATATTACATTCTGATCCTTCAGAAATTATTCTAATTCTAAACATTTCTTGTTATCAATGTTAAAAACATTGCTGCTAGTTTCTTTGTGGAAATATTGATAATTTTTCATCTTTAATGAATAGAAAGTTCAAAAGAACAGCATTTATTTAAAAAATATATAATGTTCTTCTTATTTCTTAAACATTTCTTACGTTTTATTTCTTGCCGTGTAGCTTGATTTAACGTCATTGCAACTAATTCTAGCAATTGTGATTTTACAGTAGGTACAGAAAAGAATCACCCCCCCCTTTAAAATAATCACATTTTGTTGCTTTGCAGCCTGGAAAAATGTTTTATCCAGCTGTATTTACTCGGTGCAACTTATAGCATCCAAGTGAAAGAGATAACACCAACATGTCAGAAAAAAAATTAAAGACCAGAATCACTGAGTTGGAAAAAGGATCACCCTTATTTATTATATATTTAGATCAGAGTTTTTATTATAAACTTTATTTCACAATTACTTTTTTATTTTACTTGGAAAAAACTTCCAAAAAAAGCTGATGTTCTAAAGAGCAAACAAATGTTTAGATGTTGGAAGTGTTGGGGTTAACGGTCACAGGGGCACAGATATGTTCACATTTCATGATGGCATCCCAAAGCTGCTTTCACGCGCACACAACCAGCACACAAATCCCCCCCCCCCCCCCCCCCCCCCTTTATTCGTTTACGTCTAGTGAGCGGCTAGTAGCTCATCAATTAAAAGTTGTGATGTGAAAGCACAGAAGTTGAAAAGGTCATCGCTAGCCTTCACCTCCAGCCCCAGTGAGAGTTTCGGATGGTAATTGGGATCTGGGCGCTTGGCTGGACTCAAAATCATCACTCACTCTCTACTGTTCATTTTTTCTCACTTCATCATCTCTCTCTCCATACAGAAACCCTTCAGATGCGTGTTAGTGGCAAATTAGATGAGAGCAACTGTTAATAAGGGAAATGCTGTGCATGTGTGTGAACATCTTGGTATACAGTCATAAGACCAGTCTCTCTGTCTTTGATCCCACCCATTAATTCACATTCCACAGAGACAGAGAAAAGAGAGACCATCCTTCCTCATCCCGAGATAAAAAAAAAGATGGATCAAGTATCCTCTTTTCTCTCTCTCTCTCTCTCTCTCTCTCTCTCTCTCTCTTTCTCTCAGTACCATTCTTCATTCCCTTGTTTCTCCCAGGAGAATATTACCACTCTCCTTAATTTCACGCTGTAAGGGGATCGTGCAGGAATTACACCCACACACCCATTCAATTTCTCCTTAACCATATCACTTCCCCCATCATGAGGGGGCGGAGTCTTATCCAGTTAGCCCTTTTAGTCATTTCACATGTTCCACATCACCAGCGGACAGTCACAGATACCATCCTGACTATTTTGTTATTAGTTTTATTTTAGATTTACCATTCTTCATTCCCTTGTTTCTCCCAGGAGAATATTACCACTCTCCTTAATTTCCCGCTGTAAGGGGATCGTGCAGGAATTACACCCACACACCCATTCAATTTCTCCTTAACCATATCACTTCCCCCATCATGAGGGGGCGGAGTCTTATCCAGTTAGCCCTTTTAGTCATTTCACATGTTCCACATCACCAGCGGACAGTTACAGATACCATCCTGACTATTTTGTTATTAGTTTTATTTTAGATTTTTTTATATGTATAATTTTAAAATGGATGGATTAATGGGTGCAAAAATAGGGTTTAATAAAAATAAAAAAACTCACAATATCTAAAACTTTTCCTGCCCTAAAATGAATAAATTAGTAAATAAAATGCTACCTAGGTCTCATGCTTACTAAGGTAACATTAATTTGATCAAAATAGTTAACAACTTTACTACTGTGAAATATTATTACAATTAAAATAACTTTTTTCTGTTTTTAAATATTAAAAAAATTTATGAATTCCTGTGATGGAATGTAAAGAAAATCATACTTTTATTTAGCAAGGATTAATTAAGTTGATCAAAAGTGACCGTAAAGACATTTGTTACAAAATATTTGTATTTCAAATAAATGTTTTTTTTCTTTTGAACTTTCTATTCAAAGAATCTTTAAAAATGTATCACAGTCATAAAAATATGCACAACAGCACAACTGTTTTCAGCACAGATAATAAAAAATGTTTTTGTTTGTTTTGTTTTTTTAAGCAGCAAATCAGCATATTAGAATGTTTTCTGAAGGTTCATGTGACCCTGAAGACTGGAGTAAAAGCAGCTGAAAGCTGGGGTAATAATTACCCAGAATTACTTTCTATAAACCTACTGATGAAATATGTACAATAACTTTGCCATTAAAGGAATAAATTACATATTAAAATTGAAAACGGTTGTTACAGTTGTTGTAATAATAATTTAGAATAGTACTGTTCTTTTGATCAAATAAATAGAGCCTTGGTGATCAAAAAAAAAATTTTTTTTAATCTTATCAACCCCAAATTTATGAACAGTAGAGCGAATATAAATCATATGAGACACTTTAGGATTTTTTCAAACGATAAATAACTCACATTTTTATTCATTTCATCATGTTACTACTTAATGGAACTAGGCAAACTTGTGCATAAGCAAAAACTCCCCTCTCATTTTCACACACACAAAAAGTTATTGACCACAATTTCTGGTTCTGCTTTAGTAATTACAGTGCAGTTTGGAGCTGGTTAGTTACACAGCATACAGACACTCAAACACGTGTGGAACACTGTGTGAAGGCTGTGATTAATATCTCTTACACACACACACACACACACACACACAGAGGAATGAGGACACCAGCATTCAGGTCAAGTATTCTGATAGTTTAGTGAAGTTTAAGGGTGTGGTGTGCTTAGTTTAGATTTTGGAGTTTGAGGAGAAAGCCTTCTCTGTCTCTGTGGCACACACACACACACACACACACCTTTAACAGCTTCCCTCTAGGGAATCAGACACTTCTGACTAGTCACACACCTTACTGAAGGCTTCACAGACTCTGGTATTAACATCTGTTTCAGGTGATCTGAGTTAGACCGCGCTAAATGCAAGTGTAAACCGTGTCAAAACACATTTTACAACACTTGTAACCACGTTTTTTATGTTTGTGTACATACATACATACACATATATATATATATATATATATATATATATATA